TATCTATCTATCTATCTATCTATCTATCTATCTATCTATCTATCTATATTACAGTAACAGAGTTACAGGCTTTAGTAGCTGAATACAATCAGTTTTAAAAGTACAGACGCTGGTTTGGTGCTTCCTTATATCCTAAACATCAGGAGTAAAAGTGTATAATCATCACGCACGTTTTTTTTTTTGTGCCTATTAATTTTCTAGATATATTTTGGCGTTCAGTCCGTTTTATTTTATTAGTTTACAGGCAGTTCTGCCACATCCAAAATGGCGGATCTATCTATCTATCTACATATATGTTTGCAAAAAAATGAAAGACGATCCATCCACACAACATGTTTTATTTGCTTTTCCATGATAAAAAATAATTCATAATATAAGAATGGAACTGAGAAGTATATGTAAATAAAGAAGGAACATCCCATTCCTCTCTTTATTCCATTGGGGCTGGAATAAGGAGAGACAGACAAGGGCAAAAAGAGACAAACAAGCAATACACAAGCTTCTATCCAAGTTTCTGGTATAATTTCCTTCTTTAAAATAGGACATTAGCTATAATGATCATTGCCACCTTGTTATTTACCACTAATCTCCGGTGAAAATTCCCTGACTTCATACAAATTCAAAACCTAATTGGCAAAATTGGTCTCAAAATCAAACACGGCTGCAAAACCTGAACACAAAACAGAAACTTTACTTTGACAAAGAAAGAAAAAGAAAACTTACATGCGGCTGCTGGGTGGAATCTTACGTCCATCCCTGAACCAGGTGACTTGAGGCTGGGGGAAACTGCGAATGCGTGGTGCTGGAATAACAGCACCCTCTCCCTGGGAGACCGATTGTGCACGTTCTCCCTCTTCAAAACTGCCCATAACTGGAAAGAAAAAAGAAAAAAAAACACGATAAAGCTGGTGGACGGTGAAAGTGCAGGACGGGCTAACTGTAAAACCACACACGCACAAGTCACAGGCACAAATTTGCATTTCTTTCTTCTTTGAGTATTGGCTTCATGGACCATCTGCCATCTGCTTTGTGGCTTTGTGGTCTGAAATGTTACATCCAATCACAGTGACAGAAAGAGGAGTGTTGTTGCATTGGTTTCCATGGTAAATCAAGAGAAACTCTCAAAGGGACTTTGAGGGCATGTTAAAATTATGTTTATATTTCATATTTCTTATATTCCTGATGAAAATGCATCAACGGCAATCAGTCCAAATAAAAATTTAAACATGAACTCATGACAAAAAAAGGAAAAAAGAAAAAAATTATGGCACTGTGCTATTAAGTTATCTGCAAATATATTTAACTTAACTTAATTTCTTACTTATTTGCTTGTAGAAAAGAAAAAAAAGAGCAGCACTGCTATTCCTGCTCATTCTCTGCCTGTTTGTAAATCTGCTCTGTGGGTAGGTAAGGAGTTAATGAACATGGACTTTTGTCAACAACAGAAAGCGCCAACTTTTGTTTTAATCGACCTCTGTGAGAAACGGCACAAGACCCATGAATCATTCCACTGTGCCCCTTCAAATCAAGCAGGAGTAAGAGGAAAAAAAAACTAAACAGCTAAGTGCAGACATCGTCACATTGAACAGTTAATTGAGTTTTTTAACGGGGAAATAATGCATCGGAATCATGTGAGGGTCAGGGTACAGCTGACTTTGAACCAGGGATGCTGAGGCACTGATGACAATCTTACTTTTCTCTTTCCAGTTCTCTTTCAAAGAATAAAAAAAAGAAGGAAGTCTGGCTTTGCCGTGCAGCTGTGGTGCTTAGCGCAAATGAAAATCTAGGAAGTGTGCAAATCCCCTGACTTTGATCTGCAGCTTCGGTTATTCGACGTCCCCCTCCCCTTCCTCCCTAATCTCCACTGCCTCGGCATGTTTCCCTTTCTCAGAGGTGTGTCTTTGCAATCCTAATTGTGCGGCTTCAATGGAAAAGCTTCCAAAGGGATCTTGCCATCTTTCGCTGTCATATCTCCCACTCCCTTCCTTGTGTGTCTCATCCATTTCTTCTGCAGGTGTCCTGAATTCTTCTTTTCACCCTGAATCACTATCCAAAGCTCTTTATAAGCAGCCGATAAGAAGCAAGCGGAGAATTATGGAGATGGGACTAGGTGGGGAAAACAGGGACTGAATCGCGGTGGGTAACAAGCCAAGAAATAAGTAGGAAACAGCGGTGGTCAGACAACGAACACGTTCAAGAGAGGGAGAAAATACGTTAAAAAAAAAAAAGATAACTGGGTCACAATGAATGAAAAATCTGGAAATGAGAGTAGCTGGAGAAAGAGGCATTCGGCCAATAATATAAACTTAAAAAAAGGACCACAGGGACTGTTTGGCTTGCCCCAGCCCCCCCACCCCGTTTTGTTCTTGCTCGCGCTTGGTTGACTGCACCGTCAGGTTGAGCAGTGTCACATTCGCTCAAACGTCACCCAAACGAAAGGAGACCGGTGAATTAGGGCTTACCCAGCCAGGGTGACGGGCGCAGGACAGTTGTGCATATGAAGGCCGGTCTCCAGATACCTCTACATGTCTCTTTTAGCTTGTTAACGAGACAAAGGTGTCTGGGTGGGGTGTCTGAGCGGCCTGAAACCGGCTGGGAAAAATTTAGAGAAATGCTGTGTACGGGAGTGCTGCGTTTTTGTTGTTGTTTTTTTTGTTTTTTTCACCAGGAAACGACAGATGTTGTTGACAAAAGAGGGGGAGCGAAATAAGCGGCGGTCATATTAAAATGAGGCAAAGTTAAAAAAGAACCATGGCAACAATATCAATCTAATGAGAATGCTGAGTGGAACAGCTGTCTGGGTTGATAACACTCGGAATGAGATGCAGGTAGATCTTTCACCCTGCCAGCATCCAGTCCCTCCCCAGTCAGTCCTTGATTCAAAGACAACAGAAGAGAGTGTGGCCATATTGTGTACCCCGCATGCAATTAAGCACACGAACGCCCGCCCTTACCCCTGTGTTTATCTGATCATCTACAGGCTGCATTTAGCCATAGCGTCACCCACCATCGGCGCGCATACTTACAGGCCACTTGGACTTCTGTGCGCCTCTGCAGAAGGGCCCCCACCCGATTCCTCACAATGCAGCGATAGAAGCCGGCGTGCGAGCGATCCAACGAGGGGATTAAGTACCTTTAATAAAACACAGGCACAGACAAGAAAAAGACAGATTTAAACTCTCGAATCGCGAGAAAGCTAATTACAGATACAGAAAAACCGACAAACAAAGACAAAAGGAGACCAAAGGGGTTGGGATATTTCGGAAGCATAAACACAAATTGGAAGCATCCGAGCGCGCGCGTGCATTAAAGGCGCAACTTTAAGACGATCTAATGGAGGAACAAGGGCACAGAGGACTTCGGAGCTTAGCTGTTGTTTATTCCAAATGATAATGATGCTCGGGAGGCTAACTCAGTCACCGCCGCGGAGCTCTCCCCGAAGACACGTGCTTAGATAGACGGCAAACACATTTGTTATAATGTTTTCTACGCGCACAGACACACACAAGCATCAAATCCCCAGAGGTTGAGGCTGATGCTGCCTGCCACCAGCAGCTGACTACCCCCCCCCCCATGACCTTGATTTCCAGCTGTGGAGGCAGTACCCCCCCGGTTCCATGTGGAGGCAGCGTAAGGTGCACCTCATGTGACTGCGTGTCAGGAACTGAGTTCTGTAGGGTGTCGTGTGCCGCATTCGGGGGGACGCAGGTACAAGCTGAGCCGTGGCAAACCTCTCGTGAGGCAAACTAATAAAACAAAAAAAAATCCCCCTGTGCCACTCACTCCGACTATGCTGCTGCAAGACTAATAGGGCTGCAGAGAGTGTCCCGCGAGTGTCTCTTGTGCCACATCTGTGGATGCAGCAGATGCCAAAACAATAACTGCCAACTGAGTCTATTACAAGAACTGGTTTGCACTGGCCTTAAGTGTCGGCTCCTACCTTTAGTTTTGTAAAATACATTGTCAAGTCACACGCTACAGAGATATATTAGTGACAAGGATTGCAAGGGTTTACTTTGGGCTGTCCCTTTAGAGCTAACAGAGAGAAACTCTGTGCTAACAATGTGATTTCCAAGCTTTCTAAACATATCATAGTGCGATAAGAAAGCATCAGGTGCGAGCTAACAACCAGATACTCAATTTGATGGATGTTTGTTTCAATATCTAAAGTAAAACAGGGTGTTTTTGCGAGCAACTACAGGATAAAGAACAGAAACTGTATATTTTGTGGCCATCTCCTTAAAGGTCAGGCATCTGTTCAGCTCTGTTCTTTAAGATATCCTAATAAGTATTCAGTGGTGGGACATGCATGAAGTGGCCATCTATGAAAGCGCCTGCAGTCTCTGGCGCCACGTTAGCAGGCAGCACTACGCGTAGCGGTTGAAAATTAACCTATAGCCAGCCGTACTTGTTTAATTTGAAAGTTGATGAAGTGCGTCCACTCCTTGTCAAAATAAATACTCGTTGCGAAAGGTGAAGCGGTTTCCTTGGTGAGTGTGCTTGCTAGCTTTGCTCGAGAGCGCTCAACAAACTGTCAAACAGAAGGTCCGAAAGTAACCTTCGGTAAGGCTATGTAGCAGTTTCTATAGTAACCACATGCAATTAGTCTCAAAAGTTTTTTTTTATGATTTAACCTTTTGTTTACGAAGTCTTTTTTTCATGAAAAAATGTTTGGAGGGCCTTAAATGAGTGAGAGGAGATGCAAAAGAGAGCAATTTAAAAGTTCAAAAGTTCCTCAAACATGCTGTTCAGTCTGAAGTTAAAGACAGTAGAATAAAAAAAGACATGGGAGTTATATTTGTGAAGAATTCATACACAATGTAAACCGAGCACGATCTGAAAAAGCACGCTTCTGGTCTGTTATGCAGATAAATAAAACAATGTCACGCATTTTGCAAACACTGGCGTCCTCTTTTCTTCACCTGACAGCAGAACAAAACGGAGGAAACAAGATGTTAGAAGTCACCAAATATTTAGAAAAAGTGTCTGGTTTTCAAGAAGAATGCAGAAATATGTCAAAAACCCAAGAAAACCTTTTAGAAAGTAAAAGCAAACATCAGAGAATGAAGCACCCAAACATTTCCAACATCAGGCAAATTTATCTGGATGTCGATGATTTTAGCAAAGACTGTTTTCACATTTACTGTTTTGATGTTGGTGAAGAGTTCCATCATTCATGCTCATTAAACCCTGAAGTTAAGTGCAGTGCAAAGAAGTTTTCTGCTATTTACCCACTCAGTTCATGTTTGTCCTTGACATCAGTCTGTATGGATGCAATGCTGTTTATGAGCTGGAATATAGACTCAAATTGACTTAAATGTAGTTGCAAATAATCTCAATATCAAATATAAATTATTATGCATAAATATTTTGCTCACTGAGGCCTGTTTGTATCCCACTTGGAATCAAAGCCTTCAATTTTAGAACGAGCTACTAAACCAAATTCAGTTTCTGACAAGTGCTGTATAAAGTTGTAATGCTGCGATTCCGAAGGTAAAATACTAAATGTTTTCCATTGTTTTTGTCACTTTCTGTCTGTAATTAAACTTGAGTCTGGCTGGTTCATTTTCAAGATTAAGTTTCCTAAAATGAGCATGCTGTCTGGACCAAATATTTAAGTGAAATGAAAACAATTTCCAAGAGCGTTTTATCGAATGAGACATCACGGTGAAGCTACATTTATTCCGTGAAAACAATGTCTGGCTTTCAAAGGTACTATGAAATACAACAAATGCAAATAGCTGGGTGGGTTGGAAGGCTGCTGATATCTAAAACATAAAAAAACGAAGCAATATCAACCTTCATTAAGAGCAGCGTTGGTTAGACGCGGGGGATTAAATGAGTTTTAGCCCAAAGTCTGTTCAGGCTTAATCAACTAATCAAAATTCTTAATTAATGATGTGTGACTCCCTCGTATGTTCCATCGTCTAAATTAATGCAGTTATGTATATGTGTTACGCAACGATTAAAGGGAGATGAGGTGGATAGATGATGGGGTAGCGTGGAAGTGGGGAAAAAAAATACAAAATTCACCAGATCGGAGTTTGAAATAAAAAAAATATCAAGAAAGAAACACGTGGCAGGTGGTGTTGTTGCTCTAAGTTTAACCTAACTGTGGCCTGGAGAGAATTCAACCAAAAGCCAGAGCCCTCAGGGTGACTTTAAGGCGGCATTCTCTCTCATTCTTTGTCTTCCTTTTTTCACTCTGTCCCCTATATAATGAATACAATTAACCTTTGCAGAGTTGTGCGTGTTGGCAGCAGGTTGGGGGAGTCAGCAGGGGCTCGCGGTGTCGGACAGAGATTGATTGATGTTCCTGTGGTCAGCGCACTCCGTCAGATCCCCTTTAATTAGCCCCACTCAGGAGAAATGATTAGATGGAGGAGTGGCAGGGAGACGGAGAGGGGGGACATGAGAAACAGCGAGGACCGGGGCAAAAGGGAAGGGGTGGAGGAGGAGGAGGAGGAGGAAGGCAGGAAGTGTGAAGGGATGGAAGAATGAAATCTAGAAAGATACAGGCGGAGGGAGGGACGGATGAAGATTGTGAAGGATAACAGACTATAATCCTTCACTGGGGGTGGCCACAATGTGCTTTATTGACAGTGTTCCATTAGGATTCTCAAGGTGAGCCGCAATAACATCTCTCTTTAACCGGTGGTTAAACAATTTACAGTTTACACGCCCACATCGACGCATCACCAATAAGTATGCACCAATAAGTGTCATCTTTCAGCTCTGTAGTCCGTGCACTTACTTTTGAGTTTAAGATTTTATTTTCTTCGCAAGAACACCAAATCTCTCTTCTTCATGGAATGACACAGCGCTCGGCGCAGTCCGCTACAAACCCCCCTAATGCAATTATAAATTTTATCTCTCAAGTCACTGTTTGGACTGAGCAGAAAGGTCATCGCCCTCGTACAACAGCTTGATGCTACTTTACTTCTGTTAATGAGCTCCTTTACAGCGCGGCGGCAGGCTGCAGCAAACTTCAACAGCTTGCGCATTCAGCGCCGGATAAACAAAAAGCAGGTGCTACAGGAAATTATGAGTTTTGACAGCCTAATTGCTTTATTTTATTTCAGGGGGATGATAATAGATAAAAGTGGTGACACCGTTTTTTTAAAGGGCGATTAAACCATCGTGTTCTCCGCTCGTGAGCTTAAAATGTTCTTCACAACGATGAGGAAGTCAAATAAAATAGTCGACTCGTACCAGACTCTGAAAAAAGAAAATCAAATGAATCATTAACAACTGTGGAAAACATCTGTGAAAACATGCAATACTTTTATGTAGTGGAGTGATGTCGATTGAAAAGTGCATGAATCATGTTTAAAGACCTACTTCGGATTATGGGAGCCCATTCTGATCTTGTCCCCTCGATACATTACATGAGAGGTCATTGAGAATTCTGCCGTTAACTACTGGAAATCAATGGTTAGTAATTGGTCGAGACTCTAGAGCCTCAGAGGGGGAGTCTCCACATGTTCTGCGTTTTCGAGAGCTAAAACACAAGGACACTTGTCTATTCATAGCTGTGGTTATTCTTTAATGACATTTATTTAATTTCGAACACATGTTCTATAACTTCAACCCCTTCTTGCAATAATTTATGGTGTTAGGCGACATGATTGTATCAAAAACTGTGAATGAAAAGAAAGCAATGTCTGTTCGAATTGGTGTTCAATTCGAATTTATTTAGTTTGTACCAGATATTCTTTGGTAAATGACGAAAATTGGATTTGGCTTAGAGCGAAACTTCTTCAGCTTAAAAAAATGAAACATTAATGACAACAAAAAACAACAGAAATACCTTTATGTGAGTCGCTTTATCAGGTAAAGTCCAAAGGCAAATATCATTCAGCACACATGTAATGACGTCTCCTGAATTCTGGCCCCTTGCACCCCCGCTATCCGCTTTCCATGAGGATGGAAAGTTTACCGTATTATTCCCCAAGTGATGGAATTGTTGTGTATTGAAACCTGTGCTAATTTGTTCAGAGGAACCATGAAATTATATCTGTTTAGGACGCTTTGCAGCCTTAGACATGAGTGGATTAAGCCGAGGCAGAGAGGACGAGCAAAGACAGATGATAAAAGAGAAAGCTACAGTACAATAAAGGGATCGAAGAAAGGGTGGGGCCTTTCAGGAAATACAAAGCTAATCTATATAACCACATGAAGCACCTGACTAATGCAGGATTTGTAAACAGTACAAATGTATTAGTTGGCTGTCTCTGAGCACACACTCACATATTACAGAGACAAGGCATTACCAGGGAGACCAAAGAGGCACTCTATTACCCTTGGTGTCAAAACACAAATCTCATTTTCTGTCTTTCCTTTTTTACGATTATGAAAAGCAGGGAAAAGCCCCCCTCTTTTGTGGTGATTGCACTGTGGGAAAAACTAATTTTCACTTCTCAAAAACTGACAGCGGCAAAGGAAAGTAAGGCCAGGCACAAAGATCAAAAGTCCGTCAAAAAAAAGCTGAAGCTGCTGTGGCAGCCAAGCTTTCTCCATTGTAACACTTCCTTTTATTCCGCGAGCCACTGTAAGCTGCCACAGTAAAGCTGTTTAGAAGCCTTTTTTCTTCTGTTTGTCCTTTACAAACAGAAAACTACAGGGGAAAAAAAAAAGGCTGGACTCCTGTTACCCAGCCAAGGATCAATTCTCCAACAAAAATGCCGCTTGAGGTTTGATTAATAATTAACTCTCTTAATTAAGTTCTTCGTTAATTGGCAGCATAAAGACTGGTGGAGTTCCAGGTAATCACCCTTGAGGTTTGGGCAACGTGACACAAAGCTTTGATATAATGCTGCCTATTTCTTTCTTTTTTTTTTTTTTTACCGGAGCGCTTTCCGTCAAACAGATGCTTCCATAAAAGTTCAGTGTTTTTTCAGTCTGATCTTGAATTCTGATAACAAATCAATTCTAATTCAGTAACTAATGGAAAAAATATTCTTGTAAAGTAACAATGTAGGCAGAACACTGGACGGATAAAGGTAAATATAGCAAATATGATTCTCCCAACAGCCCACGACTATAACTGTGCCCCTCACTTGAGTGGTGCCTTCTTTCTCACACACACCTATATGTTGAATAATGATGCCCCTGCAGTCTTTGCAGTATTGATTGCTTGCCAGAGGACGCTGGGTCAAGTCGCGTGGTGTCAATATTTAAAGCAGCGCTCAGCACTGGGGACCTCGTCCATAACCTCATTAATATGGGAGGCCGTTCTGCCCAAACAAAGGCCAGCATAAGGGAACACGGGGAGAAAGCACAACACAAATACATGAACACACTATGTAGTTTTTGCATGTGAAAAAATTGCTTGAATACAAGAGATTAATGGAATTTTGATATGTATGGATTCCGTGTAACTTCGAGATCTAAGAGGAAGTCGTGTTGCCCGTCGGACTGGGATTATTTGAGGCCGATTTTGGGTGAATTTTGTGTCATATTTATTGACGCCGTCATCATTTCACTTGACAGCAACAGCTCGCTGCATTTCAGACTCACGGGAGCCCGGCCGTGTTTTGCCGGAGGAACAAAATAGCTGAGAAAAAGCCGCATCGCTGTTTATGTGAGAGAAAAAACGTCAGGATGAATTCAGCGCGGGGACTGTGGTGACCTGTCTCCCTTTGCGGAGGCCCGTAATGGAAAAAAGTTCAGCATGATTATATGTAGTATAAACACCCTCGCACAGACACACGGAACCTCGCGAAGCTTTGTTCCTCCTGGCTGCCTGCTTAATCAACCATTCTATCACTCAATCATTCACCTAATAACACACTCAAAGGGGGCCCGAAGGCTCCGGCGAAGAGCGTTTTTCTCAAGTACAGTCCACTCTGATCAATTGTCCTAGCGTGCGTTTGTCACTTTTGCCCTTCCTTTCCTGATGCTGATTCCAGTCCCGGCCTTATCTGTCTCCCCAAGAAAAGTCCTCCATCAACCAGGCTGATGTTGCCCGTACACTCACCCTCTGTTGTTTTCACATCGACTCACATTCACACGAGGCAGCACAAGCGGTTCAGCAGAGATCAGCCGTGTGTCAGCAAGCTTTCCCTCAATCCTCCAGTGCTTCATTTACACCTCTGTGGAAACTCTCATTGCAGACACACTGCTCTCAAAGATAAGAGCAATGTTTGCCACGCGATTAGGATCTTCCAGTTACCATTAAAGGCGGTTTATCTCCCGGTCTAACCCCTCATTCGCAGCTTTTGCTTGTTTGCGCACCTCCCCAGAGACAGTGATGGAGGTCAGGGAGCCGAGAAGGGAAAAGGGGCGGCAGAGGTAATAAAAGAGAACAAGCAAACTACCAGGTTATTACTCATGTGGCGATGGTGTAATGAAACTATTAGCAGCTTGTTTTTTGAAAACGAAAAACTATAATGGTTAGATCGGACAGAAGAAATGAACTGCATTAAAGGAGTGTTAAAGGTGAGAGGGATGTTTACTATTCAGTGATCCAATTTTGATTTCACTTCATTTTAATTATAGATAAGCTTAATCTACATCAACATCATCAAGGCATGATATCTATATATGGCATGATAGTGCCATGTATATAGATGACTTTTACCATATATAGTAAAACACTATATGCACAACTACCAACTGATTTGATTTGGGTTTAGCCTCTACTACCAGCCATTCTAAACCCAGAGGGAAAGAATTAAAGGAATATCTAAGAAAAGAACTTTGAATATATGATTCTCTTAGTTATTGTAGCAATTGTAGTTACAATAAAGGCACGTAAAGTAATTTTATTCATAGCAAAAAAGAGATCATTACATCTTTTTTGAGTTTGTTCTATGTTACTCTAAAGTCAGTAGATACTCATTACTATCGTTATTATAAGTAAAACCAATGCATTTTAATTGAAATGTTGTTTTACCACACATTAATGCTAATCATTCCTAAAAGAGGCTGCGCTCACCTGTACTCCAGCGAAAAGCGTGTTAATTCTGTGCTGTTGTGGATCCACTTAAACTCCAGTGGCCAGCTTCCCTCCGCCATGCAGGTCAGCACCAGCCTGTTGCGCTCCAGGTGGAGCTGGCTGCGCACCGGCTCCGTCTTGAAGTAGGGCGGGACGTCGTCTGCAAAAGAATAAGGAGGGAACGTTACAGATTTTGCATGCACAGATGCTGCGATCTAATCTGGCGCAAAGCGAATTGCGCTGTATTCGATTAGCGCCGCGTGTAAACACGAGCCTGCCACGCTCCAGATTGGAAAAACTCTCTCTCTGAACCTGTTCCATTTGGAGCCACTTCATCTCCTGTGATGCGCGGCTGCCTCTGTCGGGTGATTTTGACTCGTTCTGCGAGTGTCACAGACTGCTGGCTAACAGGGAAGAGGAAGCCAGGCATGGAGTCATGAAAGACAGGGCCCTGCGTTTTGCTCTCTGTGTATTTGTGTGTCACCGACCCATTGGCACAACGCGGCCCTTCCATCCAAGCTGCACGGAGCAGACAGGAGAGGAGCAAAGCCAAAGGAGGAGGCATGAAATCCTTTCATCATTCGTTTTGCTCAGTCTTTCGCTCGTGCTGTGATTCCTGAACATGCTCTGTTGAGTGTGAAGGGACAGATAGAGGGAGGCCAGTGAGAACCTTTCTGCAGGGCGATGCACATATACTGAAGCTAGCAACACTGATTTTTATATCTCAATCAAGAGGCTTCAAAGGCAAACTGTCAGGATGCCTCACGGTTCCAATATTTCATCCTTTATAAATGATGTAAAAATGGAGAGCTTACTTGATCATCATCGTAAATATAGAACACATTAATTGGATGGTTGGATAATATAATTATCAAATTGACTGATAATCACACATTGAAATTAAACTGTCAAAATGATCTATAGTGCTGATATTTTGTGCCTCTATCCTGGCTTGACAAATTTACAGGAGGTAGACAGAGAAGAGTGAAAGAATGTGAAAAAAAATAGAGTATGAAGGTAAAACAAAGTGAGAGACGAATGTGATTTATAGGCTTTTCTCTTCCAATCACAGATTCAGATTTGCTACTTCTGGAAGACAATGCTTATTTTAACTTCTTTGAAAGTAGTACCCTTTTTGTCTTACGGATTCGTAGCATTTGAAAACCTCAGCAAATAAGCTCAAATGGAATATTTTGTTTTACTCCATTACCATCTTCACTGGTGCAAGAAGGTAAATGAATTTTAAAAACCTTCTATCCCTGTGAAGCTATGCAGAGGAAATATCACCTGAAAAAAAAAGAAAAAATTGATCCAACATGACCGTCAAAATTAGTTTGCATGATAAAGGTCAAATTTTAAGTCGCAGAAATTTAGAAGCAGATAATTATGTGATTGCATCATTTTACCTTTAGATTTTCTTCTTTCTCTCTGCATAATTCAGCAGGACGGATTTGCAAATAAACAACTGAATTGGACTGACCCAAAGCTGGAGCAAATTTCAAGCTCTGACAAAAAGCAAACAAGTCCAAACGTTTTTGACACAACAACCAAAATTGGATGAAACAAGCACGGTCCAGCCTTTTATAGAGATGAGGATGATGGTTTAATTGTGACGCACAGGGTTGTAACACTCATAATACAGGCTTGTGCTGGAATGAGGGGGTACCTTTTCCCGGCAGTGAGAGGGATGCACTTGATCAAATAAGGAGAAATTTTGGAAGCAAAGATTATAGCGTTGGTTTTGAACCTGTAGGTAAAAAGATCCTAAATAGATGAGAGGAGAAGTCGGTTGCATTTCATAAGGGTGTATATTCCAAAGGGTCAATAATGAATATTCATAAATTACCGCACCTCCTTGATGTATATTTATTAGCCACTCTTTTGTTTGACTTCTGACTTTCGATAACTTCATGAGGTGCCAGCGTGTAAGCTGAGCTGGTATGAATACATATTTATGACATCCTCGAGACAAATGAGGAGACTCAGTAAAATACCTCAAGGTATTGACCCGGCAGATTCAACTCACAATGCAGAGGGTGTTTTCAACTTAAAAATTGGGGCCCTTGCCACTCAGTCTGTGCTGTATTCTGTTTAAATCCAATACTTTATCCTGGGCAAACACGAAGATGAAGAAAAGTTCCACACAGCAGAAGCGAAAAGAAAATATAGAGGAAAAAAAAGAAAAAAAAAAGGCGCGTCAAGCATAGACAGAGCTAATCAAAAAGTCATACTGTGAAGCGAGGACTCTATCAGCGCAAAGGAAGAATACACAATGAACCAGGGAGGAAAAAAAGAACACTCAGGTGAAGTGATGTAAGAAAAGAAAAAAAAAACTGAGTGAAAATGATAGATGAGAGAGCAGCGTGGCAGACAGAAGGCTTAACAGATGCAAAATGGAGATAAAATGTAAAATACACTCAAAGCTGCCTTTAGAGTCTGAGTGCCTGGGCCTTTCCCGGAGCAATGTGGGTTAATGCAATGCCTGGCATAGAAGAAAATAGCATCAAAATCAGGAAGATTGAGACATATAGTAGTCAATGGGCATGGCAGAGACTAATTGTTCCCAGCCAATGTGCACTTTACTTTTATCTTGGATAGGGAGATAAAACATCATGAGGTGAGCGACAGTGGGGGAAAAAAAGGGGTTTGGGGTGGACAGGGAGCCTATAACACAAGCAGAGGTGGGTATGCAAATGAAACACGAGCATGAATACCGTGTCGCCCATAAACCGATAGACATGGACCCAGAGGAAGCTGTGAGGCCAAAGAGAACATTGATCACAGATGAATATCTCCAGCAGTCGCTCTCACGAGGAGGTTCGCTCATCACCGCTATCTAACTGTGGAATTAGCACAGGCAGAGGCAGACAAAACACTGCGGCGGCAAGCAGGCTAACGATTATTTTCATTAATGACTCCCATGAATTATTTCGGCATTAATCAGAGTGCCTTTTTTTTAAAGACATAAATCATAAAACGGCAAAACACTCATTTCAGTCGCCAAAACGCACCGCTGGCCTTCGGCTGGGGAAGCCATTAACAAACTTCACCAAATGATCTCGCCACAGGTTATTCACACAATGATGGACTGTTTCATTTTCTGAAAATGCCCAGATGCATACAGAGACAAGCCACAGACAGACAAGTCAAAGCAGTGGACCCAGTTCCTCTGACCAGTCAGGAGGAAAATGAGAAACATCTAGAAATCAGTTAATCGTAATTCATGGACATCTCTATCATCTCTGCATCTGTAGAAGCCCTCATTTCCCTCAGGATTTGATCTAATACATTCATATGTTTGTTGCTTGCCTAGCATCCTTTGGCTCTGAAAATTGAGTGATAGTGACTATAGTGAATAGTAATTGTGCTTAATTCAAAAACAGTTATCTACATTAAAAGCGACTGTTTTTATAAAAGATTTCTAGACATAAAAACTACTTTCAAAATCTTCTGAACATATGAAACTAAAAAGAATCATAGTAATTTTAGGAATAAAAACAAAAAGCAAAAGACATTAAATGAGATAGAAAGCTTAAATGCACATTTAAAACTGACCTTTTGACTAAGACTGACACATAGACATTAAAATCCCAAGGATGCTTTGATAATGTAATATAATATGAAACAAGTGACCGTTTGAACTGCTGCTCTTCTGTCAAAAAGGTAACCAAACACAAACTGACTTTGATGCTGTGAAGAGTGTGAAGCTAATTGATTTATGGTGTTGTTACATCTTTGGCACTGCAGGGTTCAATGCACATTAAGCATCTACAGAAAGCGTGGGCCACATCGGCCAGTCGGGTTCGGTTGCAGTTTAGTGTCACACAATTTCTTTCTAAATCCAAATTTATTCATATATTTTTTTATATTCACAGCTTTGATCAACTATATTAAGCTTGCGGTATGCATAAGCAGTTTTAAGGGACACAGGATGAATACAAGTGTGCACCAGCTGGTGTATTACATCTGTTCTTTAATAAACTCAGCATAATAGTTTTGTTTTGTTTGATGACTTCTTTGGTATTAAACAATCAATTCATTGACCGAAATCCCAATGAAATGTCATGTCAATATAGTACGGTGGTTTGTGATCACCTACCAGGTATTAGGTAATACAGTAGAACCTCTTTGTGGAATACTCATATGAAAGATGGAAAATTAAGGTAATGCCACCTTTCCTCGCATTTATTCTGTATTTTCATTAAAATGGTCTTTAACTAAGTTCACATTTGCCCTACACAAATTATTCATTTAGGGGAATTGCGACTTGAATTACATCACACAATTCTCCGCTCCCCCTCATTGAGTGATACTGAGATACTGAGATCACAAGTGTTCCAAAGACATTACCAAGCTTCACTTATTCTTAGGACTGTTTGTGTAGTTTTCAGCCTGAAAACTACACAACCATAATATATGTATCCATAATATATAAACTTACCTGTAAATCAAATTAATGTTAAATTAACTCATGGTACAGAACACCTCAACAATATGTTCCATATGTAACCATAACATATAAATTAAACTCTCCTATTTCCCAACCATCTCATGGACAATGAAAATATGACTTTTTAAGACATATTAAAATAATGGGAATAGTTGGACAAATGCACTGAAAAGCTATAAATAAGACTAAATGCAATTGAACTTAAGATCCCCTTTCACAGTGCTTTCTGCATAATAGAAAGAGATGACTGTTCGTGGCCCCTCATTTGCATGAATATCAGCCCTCGCTGGAGGACGCTCCCTGAGGCCGTGGCCCAGGTTGGCTCAAAGCTGGGACATTAGCTGGCGTGCGTGGCTGAGTGCAAGTGTATGTGCAGGTTAGTGTGTCAAACGGATGCTCACAACCCTGTCTGCAGCACACAGTCAATTAAGTCAGCTCTCTTATTAATGAGAACACTGCCAGGTACAAATGGCCGTCCCTGGATCAGAATTCATAATCGAGGGGAACTTGGAGAATACTTATCTTTGAAAAAAAACAAAAAGAAAAGAAAAAGAAAATCAATTCTCACCGAGATACCTCCAAACTCTTAAAACAAAAAAAGCCAAAAGGATACCGGAAGTCGTGGAGAACTTGGAATTATTTGCTTCCCAGGTTTTTTTATTCTTAAAGTTCAGGTGAGCTATTTCAGACGACTGAACCTCTGCGCTGTACTTATAAACACATGTGCATTTAGTTTTATCACAGCAGGTGTTGCCTTTACTAGCTCGCTGTGCTAAATGTCTCCCAACAACAAAAACGATCTTGCAACCATTTTCAAAGACAAATATCTCTATATATGTGTTTAAAAACGCATTATCTCCGTAAGCGGCCATAAGTTACTGCCTCTGCGTTTGAGACTTTGCCAGCATTATGGATGGCACATTTTTCCAAGGCAAAAATGCATAGTGGCTGAATTTCCACTGTGAAGTCAGTACTTTTTAGTTCCCAGAGGGACCGTGGTGCTGTGGTAGCAACCACCCTCCAAGCTGAGTCCTCAGGGGCCCGGCGCTATCGGACATGACATA